AAAATCTGCTAAAAGTGACCTCGAGGAGGAATTCCCACCAAGAAAAAAAGATCTAGTAGAACCTGAAGACTAATCTTGGAAAATTTCTCTATGCAAATACAAACTGAATAAGTTGTATTTCCTAATAAAAAGATTAGTGGGAGAGAGAAGAAAGTACAAGACTTTGATCTTTTTTTCTTGGTGGAAATTCCTCCTCGAGGTCACTTTTAGCAGATTTTGCCTGCATATGTTTCTCTGCTTTTTTTAGATTCAGATGCAAGTTTGCAATCATTTGCTTAATCATATTCTTAAACAAGTTATAGGCAAGCTCTGTATCTTCAACACGTGGCTATCTGATGACAAAGCTCTTAGCTTCTTCAAACAAATTATATCCAGTTCTATAATTTCATCTGACTAATGCGATTTTCCAAAGTATGCCAGTCTTTAATGCATTCATTTGTGGATTTTTTCAATCAGTAACAATAAAAGGTAACAATTCTATTTATTGTTGTTGTTGAGACAGGGTCTGGCTCTGTCACCCAGGCTGGAGTATAGTGGTGCCCTCTTGGCTCATTGCAACCTCTGCCTCCAGGGCTCAAGCCATTCTCCCACCTCAGCCTCCGGAGTAGCTGGGACTACAGGCCTACACCACCATGCTTGACTAATTTTGGTATTCTTTTGTAGAGACAAGGTTCAGCATATGTTGCCCAGGCTGGTCTCAAATCCTGGGCTCAAGTGATCCTCCTTCCTTGGCCTCCCAAAGCGCTGGGATTATAGACTTGAACCACTGTGCCCAGCCAACAACTGTTTTTAACACATGCCATAAGCTAAAACAACATCTTTGAAACTTTTCTCCCCACTCATCTTCCCTTTTTGAGCAAAAGTGACTCTTTTGCTTTAGCCTTCTTCAGTGCTTTCATTTGTTACTCCTTGCCAATAATATTAGGCATGAGGTGTTGACTAAGGCACTATATGATGTTAATCTTCATATACTTGTAATTTTAAAAACTCTTCCCTGCCCAGCAAATTTTAACTCTTTCCTTTAAGGCTCAACTCATAGCTCCCTATGCTTTTTAATGCTTAATCACTTAGCCAGTTTATAATTATGAATTATATGATTATTTGATTATTGTCTGTCTCCCCATTCCTCACCACATCACTATAAGCTCCTTGAGATTAGAGTCCTCATCTTATTTTATATCCTCAGCTTCTAACATGTTGTCTGGTGCATAGTTGTCACTAAATAAATGTTTTTGAATGAATTAAGTAATGTCAGCAGATGACTAGACATTATATGCTTCTTGAATTCTTTCCTAATCTCTTCAACCACCACACCTATCTCCCACCCTACTGACAGAGTTGAATATTTCCTCTTCTGTATGTCAATGAAAATTTGCAGGTAACTTGGGTGACCAATCGTATACCCAGGTTTACCTGAGACATCCCTAGTATATGCCTATTGTTCTTACATAACTATTAGTAAACACTCCCTTCATTCACAAGAGTATCCCAGCTTGAACTGTAATTGAAATATTCATCCTCTATAGAAGTGCATTTCTAGGGTCAATTCTAGCCAAAGTTTTACTAGTTGGTTGAGTTCTTGAGGACAAGCTTAGTTCTGGTTTATCTTTCTAACCCTGGGGCTTAGCACAGTCTCTGCCTCTCAGGGACTGCTCTTTTGAATAAAAATACATTCTTGCTATCTTGTCCCAAGGACTTTTGCATTATAAAAGAAACACATACACATAGACAAACACATGACACCTTCACTTGCACAGGTTTTAGGAAAGATCGCCAACATTTTTCTTAAGATATTCTTGCTTAAGGTTTTGAAAGAGAAATTCAAGTTTATTTCTGCTAAGCCACTTATTTCTCTTTTACTTTAGGTTATTGAGTAGGAAACTTCCACAATAATAACAAGTAATTTCAATGAGGGTTTCCTATGTGTGTGAGATTTTTCCTGAATTTAAATTTGCTATTGTATGTCTACATAAGTATGGTGAAAGTATTCACACCAATGACAATTTAGACATAACTAAATATTTGATAGTATGAAATAAACATTCTATGGTCCACTAGCTAAGAGTAGTCTAACTTATCTTTTATAGGTACCTCCCATTTGCCAAGAAAATATACATTTAATCTTATAAACAGTTGGTTTTAAGTGACTTTGAAGCTTTGAATAAATCCAGGGGAAATATTTCAATGTTCTGTGTACACTAGAAATTATTTTGAAGAAAATAAATTGTAAGTCAGATAGCAAATGTGAAACTTACAAGGAAATGGGTGTCTATGTGTTGACTAATTCACTAAGGGAAAATTTTAAAGTCACAAATGGTAATGTAATCATTCCAGGAGTCATTATATGCTGCCTGAATGTCATTTCTGAGATGTTGATTACGTTTGGCTCTGTTTCCAAATGTGACTCCTAAAGTAAGCATGCAGTTATCCATAGCATTCTTCAAACCATTAGAGGTTTTTCTTATTTGTAGAAACAGAATTGAGGCAGGGCGTGGTGGCTCACGCCTGTAATCCCAGCACATTGGGAGGCCGAGGCGGGCGGATCACCTGAGGTCAGGCGTTCAAGACAAGCCTGGCCAGCATGGTGAAACCTCGTCTCTACTAAAAATACAAAATTAGCCAGCTATGGTGGCACATGCCTGTAATCCCATCTACTTGGGAGGTTGAGGCAGGAGAATTGCTTGAACTCAGGCAGTGGAGGTTGCAGTGAGCTGAGCTCATGCCAATATTGCCACTGCACTCCAGCCTGGGCAACAAGAGTGAAACTCCATCTCACATACACACAAAAAAAGAAACAGAATTGAGGTGTAACTAGAAATCTGTGGCACACTGGTCACACAAGTACCCTGATTTTATTTATTTATTTATTTATTTATTTATTCATTCATTCATTCATTCATTCATTTATTTATTTAGATGGAGTCTCACTCTATCGTCCATGCTGGAATGCAGTGGTGTGATCTCACCTCACTGCAACCTCTACCTCCCAGGTTCAAGTGATTTTCCTGCCTCAGCTTCCCAAGTAGCTGGGATTACAGGCACCCACCACCACGCCCAGCTAAATTTTGTATTTTTAGTAGAGACGGGGCTTCACCTTGTTGGCCAGGCTGGTCTCGAACTCCTGACCTCAAGCGATCTGCCCGCCTCGGCCTCTCAAAGTGCTGGCATTACATGCATGCACCACCGTGCCCGGCCAGTAGCCTATTTTTAGATGAGTGAGCACAGCTTCTGCCTAAAGACCTCATCAGTGTTCACAGGTCTATAGCCTTATCTCACTGTCAGTCTTCTTTTAAAAGGAAAACCGAACCCATGCTGGTATCATTACCTGCTTTATGTATATTGAGAACCTATTGTGTTCTCTTCACTTTTCTAAGCATTTTCCTAACATATATTATACAGTCCCTACAATTAACTGGTGAGGTAGCTATCAATATCCTCATTTTACATATGAAGAAACTGAGGCTCAAAGGAAAGAACACACTTAGGCCAGGTTAGAACTGAAACCTGCTGGGACAGATGAGATAAGTTAGAGAAGGAAGTTAGAAATAAAATTGTTGCTGGGTGAGGTGGCTCACGTCTATAATCCCAGCACTTTGGGAGGTGAGGGCCGGCGGATCACGAGGTCAGGAGTTTGAGACCAACCTGGCCAACATAGTGAAACCCTGTCTCTACTAAAAATACATCAATTAGCCGGGCATGGTGTCGTGTGCCTGTAGTCCCAGCTACTCGGGAGGCTGAGGCGGGAGAATCGCTTGAACCTGGGAGGCGGAGGTTGTGGTAAGCCGAGATCATGCTACTGCACTCTAGCCTGGGCAATACAGCAAGACTCCATCTTAAAAAAAAAAAAAAGAAATAACATTGTCCCTAATTCTCTTCTGTAATTAATATTCTTTTTATTAAGTTCTGGTTTCTCTTGCAAGTTGAGTTGGTTTTATCCTTTTCTCCTTTTGTTTATCAATTATAATTTAAAAAGAGGCTTCAGACAGGAAAATGCACACACACCCTTTCTTATCTGAAACACACCTCTCTGTTACCCTTACAGCCTGTTTTAGTTGTCTGAAGCAATTTTAATGGTTTTCTAGTCTCCCTAGTAGATGGGTTCCTGATATTTTGTAAACAGTAACGCTAGAGAGCATGTGCTTTTTTTTTTTTTTTTTTTTGAGACGGAGTCTCACTCTGTCTCTGTCACCCAGTCTGGAGTGCAGTGGCGTGATCTCAGCTCACTGCAAGCTCCGCCTCCTGGGTTCACACCATTCTCCTGCCTCAGCCTCCCGAGTAACTGAGACTACAGGTGCCCGCCACCACGCCTGGCTAATTTTTTGTATTTTCAGTAGAGACAGGGTTTCACCATATTAGCCAGGATGGTCTCGATCTCCTGACCTCGTGATCCGCCCACCTCAGCCTCCCAAAGTGCTAGGATTACAGGCGTGAGCCACTGCGCCCAGCCCACATGTGCTTTTCAGGAGTGAATTTTAGCCTTAGCGAGAAGGATATGGTGTGGGATCTGGAAACACTTCCTGGCAGAAAGGGAGAGTCTTTCCATGGAAATATATGTATGTGTGTATATATATATATATATATATTCTTGCTCCTTGTTGAAATGTGATGTTTCTCTTTCTCCAAATTGTTGTGGTAAGCAAATAACTTTAGCTGTTATTTTGTGTGCATGTCATGGGGGGGCGGGACGGGGGGCAGGAATTACAGCATTATTACCACCACTGAAATATTTATGTCTAGAATTATTACAGAATTAGGGACTCTTTAAGTTTAGTCTAATCATTGTAAGCAGAAAAATCAAATGCAAAAAAAAAAAAAAAAAACCCTGTAGTTTCTTAAGAAGAAACCTCTGTATCCTAAAATGCTTTTCCTAAAATTTACTAAATATGATGTGGTATGTGTGTTTATTTGTAGGGAGTGGTAACATCTGAACATACCAAACCAAACAGGCAAACTCTTGCACCATCGCTACCACGACATTTTACCACAAAAGAATGCCACTGCATGTGGATTCCAAGCAGGCTAAAAAGAAAAAGAACTGATTAGACCTCAGACGACCCACTAAACGGGATGACGGCCACAGCTGAGGTAGAGACACCAAAAATGGAGAAGAGTGCCTCCAAGGAAGAGAAGCAGCAGCCTAAGCAGGACAGCACAGAGCAGGGCAATGCTGATTCTGAAGAGTGGATGAGCTCTGAGAGTGACCCTGAACAGATAAGCCTTAAGAGTAGTGACAACAGCAAGAGCTGCCAACCTAGGGATGGTCAGTTGAAGAAAAAGGAGATGCCCTCCAAGCCACACCGCCAGCTCTGTCGATCTCCCTGCCTAGATCGTCCAAGTTTCTCCCAGAGCAGCATTTTACAGGATGGTAAACTTGACTTGGAGAAGGAATACCAAGCTAAGATGGAGTTTGCGCTAAAGCTGGGCTATGCAGAGGAACAGATTCAATCAGTGCTAAACAAGCTGGGCCCAGAATCACTTATTAATGATGTATTGGCAGAGCTTGTCAGACTTGGGAACAAAGGTGATTCAGAAGGGCAGATCAACTTGAGCCTGTTAGTGCCTCGTGGGCCTAGCTCCAGAGAGATTGCAAGCCCTGAATTGTCTCTTGAAGATGAAATAGACAACAGTGACAATTTGAGGCCAGTTGTCATTGATGGAAGCAATGTGGCAATGAGGTAAGCCTGGTATGTTTTTTCTCTCATTTTAAAAACCTGCCCTGAGCTCATAGAAATTTTCTTCCTTTGCAAATCATTACAAGAGGCACATGGCTATTGACTGTGGCGTGTGTTTCTGAAGGTGGCCAGAGACTAAAATGATCCTGCTCTTGCCTTTTCTTCCTCCACTGAAGTTGCTGCCAATTTGTTTCCAGGTGTTCTAAAGGCAGCTTCAACATCAGTGATGATGCTTCAGAGGAGACATAGCCATTCAGCTTTGTTCCTTTTGTGGTCTGCTGTCCTACCCCTACTTTACTAGACTAATCATCCTGAAAATGCTGCTTTTATAAAGTCCCTTTGCGGTTTGCTTAGGAACTTTCAGTAACTCTCAACTGTTATTATACCAAATTTTGATCCTTTTTCCTGGCTTTAAGGCTCTTTGTGATCTAGCCTTTCCCTCCTCCCATTTGATTGTATCTCTCATGCTTACTGCATTTACATCTATCTTTTTAATGGTCTCCATGAAAATTATGCTGATTTCTATCCCCACCACCTGTGTTCATGCCTTTTCCCAACTTAGAAGTGCCTCCTTTGTATCTTCATAGCCTTCAAAATGCACCATCTCCACAAAGAACTTCCTAATTTTTCTGATTCCAATGATGATCTCTGAACTACAATATCTGTGGTAGGCTGAATGATAGCCCCCCTAGAGATGTCCACATTTTAATCCCTGGAATCTCTGAATACATTATCTCATATGGTAAAATGACTTTGCAAATGTGATTAACGTTCTTGAGATGGGAGAGATTACCCTTGTTTATCAAAGTGGGCCTAATGTAATCACAAGTGTCTTTATTAGAGGGAGGCAGCAAGATCAGAATGAGTAGAAGGAGATGCAATGGCAGAAACAAGAAGCTGGAGTGACATAAGAAAGGGACTATAAGCCAAAGAATGTGGGTGACCTTTTTGACCCATTGGACTGTTTCAGGAAAAAAAAAGAAAAAAGAATGTGGGTGGCCTCTAGAAAGCTGAAAAAGGCAAGGAAACAGATTCTCTCTTTAAGCTTGCAGAAAGAACACAGCTTTGCCAACACCTTGATTTTAGATTTCTGACCTCTTGAACTTGTAAGAGAATAAATTGGTGCTATTTTCAGTCACTAAATATGTGGTAATTTGTTACAGCAGCAGTGGGAGACTAACAGTACCTATAGTGCCTTCAAATTTATTCCATACTCTCTCATATCATTTTTTTAAGCCATAGGAATCCCTTCTTCTATTTCTCAAATGAATTGTCATCCAGTCTTGGTTTAAAAAACCGCAGTAATCAGGAGCCTTTTTCCTACTGTCTCTCATTGCTTGATGGACTCACTAGAATCCTTAGACCGTAGGCAATCAGAACAAAGTGAAAAAGCCTTAGTCTAGCAAGTTTTACATTAGATTATCCCATTGTCTTTGAAAGCAGGGATCTTGCCTTGTTTTCCCACAGTATTGGGTGCTCCCACAGAGACATGAGAGAGTGGGGATGGGAGAAAGTCATGAACGATACCATTGCTGTATACAGGAAATGCTTAGCAGACTATCTGAAAGTACACTTTAGTATATAGTCCTGTTTAATGCTCACAGCAACTTTATCTTACAGATGAAAAAATAAGGCTCAGCAAAGGTAATTGACTTCCCTGAGTTTACATAGCTAGTAAGTACTAAAGTGAGAACTCGAACTTAAGTCCTCTGACTTCAAATGAATGCAATGAAACAAACAAACATTTACGAATACTGATTCTGTGCCAGATTTTTTACATATGTGAATTAATCCCCACTGGAGAGCCTATAAGAATAAACTAATTTGGTTCATCTTTGCAGGTGAAGAGATTCAGGTTCAGAGAGTTTGAGTAACTACCCAAGGTTACCCAAGCTTACAAAGCTTAAATTAAAACACTAATCTGACTCCAGTTCTCTTTTCACAATACCACACAGTATTATGTGGCTATTAGTGTTATTAAGAATATTTGGGCCAGGTATGGTGACTCACACCTATAATCCTAGTACATTGGGAAGCCAAGGTGGGAGGATCGCTTGAGCCCAGGAGTTCAAGACCAGGTTGGGCAACATGGCAAAACCCTGTCTCTACTGAAAATACAAAAATTATCCAGGTATAGTGGCACATGCCTGTAGTCACAGCTACTCAAGAAGCTGGGGTGGGAAGTTCTCTTGAGTCCGGGATTCAAGGCTACAGTGAGCAGTGATCTCGCCACTGCACTCCAGCCTGAGTGACAGAGTGAGACCCTATTAAAAAAAAAAGTGTGTGTATGTATGTGTGTGTGTGTGTGTGTGTGTGTGTGTGTGTGTGTGTGTATGGCGTATTTGCTAGTAGCAGAGAATGCATTTACAGATTTCCTTTTTCAATTTTTTAAAATAATGACATCATCATCATTATAAGGTATGTAAAGCAGGCTAGACAGCTCCTTTGTTTTAATGAGGGGAAACCAAAAGCACGGTAACAAGAAAGTTAAATGACCTGCACACAATACTACAGCAATCAGAATGATGCAGTGGGCCAGTGAAAAGCAAAGGATAATGTCTGTATTCAAAAGGCCAAAGGTGTCTCTGCTCTCCTCCTATCAGGCATAAGAAAGGGTGATTCTTGAGGGGAAGGAGTTTGGGATGTGCCCAACTCAATCTGTCACCAAACCAGACCACCTGGAACACCCTAGACTGGGCCTGATTCCCAAGGCCTACCTGTTTTTTTGTTTTGTTTTGTTTTGTTTTTGGTCTGGTCTGGTTTTGTGTTTCGGAGTTGAGGATGAGAAGAACCTAAGGCATTCGTGGGGACTTTGGCTTCATGGTAATGTAATATCTTCCTTTTCTCTAGACTTCTATTCAAGGGTTGCTGATCATGAAGGACACTCTGGTTCTTTTGCTTTTTAAGGAATAATGCAGAGATTAATTACTTGGATAATTAGTTTCAACATATCTGGTCTATATCAGTAGCAAACTATTATACTGACAGGAAAATGAACTTTTATCTCCTGTATGAGTTACTTTGCTAAATTAAAGGCATTTCACATGATTTAAATAGAGCCAAAAAAATAGCATGCAACCTTACTGTTAGGAGCATATTAAAATAGTGCAGAGTAGACCATGTAATTTCTTTAAAATTGCCAGTTGAGTCCTTGTTAGCATCTTTTTCTTTTGTCTGAGTAGTAAATTACTGATGAGTCCCATTTATTCTGCAATCACATTTCACATGCTCAAGGTTCAGTGCTATAGTCTACTTATGGATTTGTTATTACTATTAATCTAAATTAGGTTTGTTTTCCTCCTTAGTTAGCTGTAAGTTTATGGTGAGATTGGTATTTCTTAGACAAACTACATGTTAATGTCTGTTGTTTCTCAGCCTGTTGAATGACCCTGCATTAAAATTATGATGCTGGCCAGGCACAGTGGCTCACGTTTGTAATCCTAGCACTTTGAGAGGCCAAGGCAGGCAGACTGCTTGAGCCCAGGAGTTCAACACCAGCCTGAGCAGCATGACAAAACCCCATCTCTACTACAAATACCAAAAAATAACCCGGCGTGGCGGTGCGTGCCCGTAGTCCCAGCTGCTTGGGAGGCTGAAGTGGAGAATTACTTGAGCCCAGAGAGGTTGAGGCTGCAGTAAGCCATGATCACGCCACTGCACTCCACCCTGGGTGACAGAGCGAGACACTGTCTCCAAAAATAAAATAAAATTATGGGCCAGGCCTGATGGCTCACACCTGTAATCCCAGAACTTTGGGAGGCTGAGGCAGCAGGATCACTTGAGGTCAGGAGTTCGAGACCAGCCTGGCCAACAAGGCGAAACCTCATCTCTACTAAAAATAAAAAATTAGCCAGGTATGGTGGTGGTGTGCCTGTACAGGAGAATCGCTTGAACCCAGAAGGCAGAGGTTGCAGTGAGCTGAGATTGTGCCACTACACTCCAGCCTGGGCGACAGAGTGAGACTCCGTCTAAAAAAAAAAAAAAAAAACAAATTATGATGCTTTGTTTGCCATTAGCAGCATTTGGTTAACATTTGCAGTAGTAGTGCACCTGTGGTCCACATACTGATTGATATATGCTAAGATCCTAAAGGGTACATTCATTCTGAGAGCTGTCTCTTTTGGGAAGAGAAATCCATTTCAGAGGAATGAAGGCTTTGAAATGTAAATACAACCATATTCTTTGTTAAGTCTAGGAGAAGCCCAAACATTTGAAGCCCAGAGAAAACAACTGCAGAGGGAGGGGCTAATGACCTATCTGCTAAGCTGAATTTGGCTTGGGAACCTGGATCATGAGAGGTTCCTAAGCCAGTTTACAAGACAAAGTGAACTGTAGTGTCACCAAGATACTCTGTGACTTGCAGGTCCTAGGGTTTTCAGCGTTTATAGATTGCAAAAGGACATTGTATGGGTTTAAGCAAAAACAAGCCACTTGAAAAGCATTACTTTATTTTCCTCTTTTTACAAAAAATATTTATTCATTCCTTAAATGTTTGGGGGGCAATAAACTTTGCATACTTGGCTGGTTGTGTAGGTATTCATTGCCACCTTGATAAATGTTGAAAGTGCCATCTGATTCTTATTGGGCATTTGGTGTGCCTGATGAAATGCTTCAGTGGCGTACTTTTAATATATTTTAATAGGATGCTATAGGTATGTTACATTTTTTCTTAACATAATTCTCAGTATGTTAGGAAATTGATATCAGAATATAAATATATCAAAATATTAAGTGTTTGTCTCTGTATTGTAGTAAAACGGATTTTGGGGTTTTTTTCTTTATATTTTATGTATTTTCCACGTTTTATACTATAACTATATTACATTTTTAAATGATTTTATATATATATATATATATATATATAGAGAGAGAGAGAGAGAGAGAGAGAGAGAGACAGGGCCTTGTTCTGTCACCCAGGCTGGAGTGCAGGGGCATGATCATAGCTCACTGTAACCTCAAATTCCTGGGCTCAAGTGATCTTCCTGCCACAGCCTCCCGAGTAGCTAGGACTACAGGAGTGCACCACTATACTCAGCTAATTTTTTGTAGAGGCAGGGTCTCACTATGTTGCCAAGGCTGAAAAAAAATTTTTAAACACAGAATTTGGCAGTATAAAATATAAAATTGGCTGGGCGTAGTGGCTCACGCGTGTAATCCCAGCACTTTGGGAGGCTGAGGTGGGCGGATCACAAGGTCAGGAGTTCACGATCAGCTTTGGCAACTCGGTGAAACCCCGTCTCTACTAAAAATACAAAAATTAACTGGGTGTGTTGGCTTGTGTTTGTAATCCCAGCTACTTGGGAGGCTGAGGTAAGAGAATCTCTTGAACCCGGGAGGCAGAGGTTGCAGTGAGCCGAGATGGTGCCACTGCACTCCAGCCTGGGTGACAAAGGAAGACTCTGTCTCAAAAAATAAATAAATAAATAAATAAAATATAAAGTTGCAGTATCTAACAGCAAATTTTACTCTCATATTTATTTCTGGACTTAGACCGTTTGGGAGAAGATCATAGTACTGCAGAGCCGAGGAAATTCCATCCCCTTCCTTCAAATCCCCTCTAATGGCAATTCTGATAATTTTCCCAAGTTCTGTTATTCTGTATACTTACCAGCACTGTAGCAGTGGGAAAATTCACAGCTGAACAACTTCTCTTCCACAGTTCATCCAATATTAACCATTTAAGCATAATTCTTGCATAATTTCCCCATTGTTCAACTTTTTAGGAGTTAGTGGTAGTTATCTCTAAGGCTACGTTGGAGTATATTGACAACTAAATATATTTTCCTTTTGTTTCTTAAGTGCTTTCAACTTTCAGTTGAGTAGTATAATTGCTTTATGGTACTCACTGGAGAGCTTTAAACATGATTAGCATATGCTTCGAAATGTTAATAAAAGCATTTAATAAATTTTTGCAATTTGCCTCAAGAGTGATAAGACAGTGGGAAGTCTTGCAGTACAAGAATTGATGAAGCCCCTGATATTATATATGAATTCATCGAAAGCGAACAATATGTTGGAGGTCATTTTTGTTGTAGCTGAGTGAGCTAGTGCCAGTGAGAAGGTGAGGAATCAAAAGCGAGAAGCCCCATCACATTGTCTTAATTAGCCTTCTAACAAAACAATTATTTCCTTCTGATCAGTCTTAACAGACAATAGCCACTTGATTGTAGTAGAATTGGTACACGTATGCCCATTTGTTCCCATCCAAGCTGTTTAATTAACTATAATTTAGTGTGGTTTATGTATATGTCAGAGCACTAGATACCACGCTAAGAGATCATAATTTTCACAGCCAAACAAGGCACAAATCTAGTGCACCTTTTCCCAATTTATCTGCAAATTTTCCCTCTTCCAAATTCTAGTTAAATGAATTCTGTTTGGCTTTTTAAGTTTTCACAATGTTTATTCATATAAGTAATTCTGACAGTTTCTTCTCCTTTATATCATGTTCTGATTATAGAAAGAATACTTGAATTTTTTTTTTCTTTTTAATAAAGATGGGGTCTCGCTATGTTGCCGAGGCTGGTCGCAAATTCTCCCACCTTGGCCTCCCAACCTGCTGGGATTATAGGCCTGAGCCGCTGCACCCGGCCAGAAATAGTTGATTTTTTAAGGATATTTTGGAATTAGAGGAAGAAAATAGATCACTTATAATCCTCTCACACAGAACAACAACATTTATTAATATTTTGATGTACTTATTTCTCATATTTTTTCTAAGCTTATACATAGGTTTTCTTCTACAAAATTGGTGTTACATTATATATAGTCTGTATTTTTTCTTTTCTCTTTCAGAATTATGAGCATTTCCTACATCTTAAAATTTTCATGAATATGATTTTTGTTGGTGCATTATATTAAATGGATATATGTAATAAGAATTTTCAGTGAGCATTTATGTGCATATCTTTTTTGCTGTTGATGTTATTTTTGAAGCTTAATATATATGTGCTTAGGACTTATCCCGAATTAATACTCTATATAAACTTTAAACCTCTAGTAATACCTTTACTTTTTTCATTTTTTGTGAATATCGCAATCTTTGAAAAGAAAGTGGTAGGAGAAACAGAAAGAGAAGAGAGAAAATGGAACTAGTGATAGGAGATAGCCATCAGGGCTGCAATAAATTGGGAGTTGTTACTAACCATCTGTGGCCTTGAATGAAGTTTGTAATACTAATGGCAAATTTGTAACAATTAAATAAAAATAACTTGATTTGCTCTTTAAAAAGCATGTTACTTGGCATTATCAAGAAAGTAAATGTCATAGCTGGCCACAGTGGCTCATGCCTGTAATTCTAGCACTTTGGGAGGCCAAGGCATGCGGATCACCTGAGGTCAGGAGTTCGAGACAAGCCTGGCCAAAATGGCAAAACCCTGTCTCTACTAAAAATACAAAAATTAGCTGGGCATGGTGGTACGCACCTGTAGTTCCAGCTACTCAGGAGGTGGAAGCAGGAGAACCACTTGAACCTGGGAGGCGGAGGTTGCAGTGAGCTGAGATCGTGCCACTGCACTCCAGCCTAGGTGACAAAGTGAGACAAAAAAAAAAAAAAGAAAGAAAGAAAAGAAAAGAAGCGAAAGGAAGAAAGAAAGAGAGAAAGAAAGAAAAGAATGTAAATGTCTATTATTAATACCTTGACACTAAGAAAAATCCTGCTTTAGGTATTTCTTTGCTATCTATTATCAATCTTCTCTCCTCTTATTCTGTATCTTCCTAAAGCCATGGGAATAAAGAAGAATTCTCCTGCAGAGGAATACAACTTGCGGTGGATTGGTTTCTAGATAAAGGCCATAAAGATATTACTGTATTTGTGCCTGCATGGAGAAAGGAGCAATCCCGCCCTGATGCACCAATTACAGGTACTATGTCAAATAAGGTATTTCTTCTCATCTAGAGGCAAATCTGGAAAGATAGTTTGGGGATGGTCCCAATTTAGATATTTATTTTTCAAAGTTGTTAAGTATATTTAAAGTATTTGTATTAAGTGTATATTTGAAAAAAGATTCAAAGAAAGCCACCATTATTTTGTAGCATCTGACAGTTAAATAAAGAAAACTTCAATTCAGCAAAAGATAAAGCACATAGTTTTTTTAAAAAAGGAGTGCTTTTCTATTTGACCATAGACTTCAGACTAAAGGGAGATGAATCTGGTTATGAGCATGACTAAGTTTTCAAGAGAGTAAAAACACCATGGTGGACAATGGATCTCATTCTGTACCAAAGAAGTGATTGTGGGGTTTGCAAATTAGGGAATAAAAGAGAGAGAGAGAAAAGTCCCACAGCAGTCAGAGCCAACTTATCCATGAGACACAGTAGGTCTGGCACCTAGGGCGAATGATATTGTTAAGGTCCCATGGAAATGTCTTAATTTTATTTTCTTCTCACATTAGAAGAAAAAATTGAATATAATAGCAATGCATGTAAAATGATGTATCTAGCTGGGTTATCCTTGGCTTTATACCAAAGCAATTGAAAATGAAATTTTTAATATTTATATTTGTTTGAGACAGGGTCTCACTCTGTCACCTAGGCTAGAATGCCATGGTGTGATCATGGCTCACTGCAGCCTCCACCTCCCTGGGCTCAGGTTTTTCTCCCACCTCAGCCTCCTGAGTAGCTGGGACTACAGGTGTGTACCACCATGCCTGGCTAATTTTTGTATTTTTAGTAGAGATTGAGTTTTGCCATGTTGCCCAAGCTGGTCTTGAACTCCTGGGCTCAAGCTATCTGCCCACCTCAACCTCCCAGAGTGCTAGGATTACAGGCATGAGCCACCATGGCCAGCCAATATTTAACATTTCTTATGGAGGAAGAGGTCCAGGAAAGCAAAAATGCCTAAGGTTTTCAAAAGTCATCATGCAATCCTAATGGCAGAGGGGTCTCTACATTCATTTACAACAGTCTTCTGAGCATCAGCTGTTGCCTGATGTGCCTAATGAGAAAGTCCCATGAATGACTGTCTGAGTTGTGTGTGAAGCTATTTGCCATCTGCTGAACAGGCTCTTGAGCCTCCATCTGAGAATAGATCCTAGCCCTGCTCGAGCCCAGCCAGCAAGCTTTCTTGCCTCAGCAACTAGTAGACCAAAAGGAAAGGGGATCAGCACTCAGTTGCTATATCTTGATGTTTCACCCTAGTTTTGGCCTTCACTCAGGCAGAAGCCAAAAATGTAAGTCCCTAGGAGAGATGCTTTAGTTTCCTCCTGGCAGACACATCCTCTGTACTTCCCTGTTAGAAATCAACAACCAAAAAGCTGGTGCTTTGGCCAAAGGGCAAAACAAGCATCAAGAATGCTAAGATATCAGTGTCACTCTCACTCTCCATGTAGTTTTTAAAACTTAGATGTCATTGAATCCAGTTCCTTCATTTTATCAAAAAGAAGACTGAAGTCCAAAGGGGAAGATGACTTGCCTAAGGTCATAATCCAGATTGATATCATAGCCAGGAACAGGGCCTACTTTCCCTCTAAGGGTAAATAATATCTTCATCCAGTACCAACTTTTACATTTTTAATATTGGGGTAATACTGTTAATTTCCAAAGATGATTTCTGCTCTGTGGCATATAATCATATTTTGACAGATCAAGATATTCTACGAAAACTGGAGAAGGAAAAGATTCTCGTCTTCACACCATCCCGAAGAGTCCAAGGCAGGAGGGTTGTCTGCTATGATGACCGGTTCATAGTCAAACTGGCTTTTGATTCTGATGGCATCATTGTGTCCAATGATAACTACCGAGACCTTCAAGTTGAAAAGCCAGAATGGAAGAAGTTTATAGAGGAGCGGTTGCTGATGTATTCTTTTGTGAACGACAAGTGCGTTTCTTTCCAGTAGGCCTATATTCAAGTTATCAGTAGGAATAGATTTTACTTTAATAAACATTTACCAAACACTTACTGTGTATCATACATTTTGCTAGTTGCCACAGACATAAAAGGATGAATAAGGAAGAGGACTCACCCTTACGGGACTCAAAGTGTAGTAGAGGAGTGAAAGAGACAACCACAGTGTTTTGTTATAAGAGCTACAGTTAAAAGTTGTTTTTTTAAAATTGCTTTGTCTATGTGAAGTAATAGAAAAAGGCATCCCAGAGGAGATGACATTTCAGATCAAGTTTACAGATGGAGGAAAGGGGGCTGCTAGGCATGAGAGGTGAGGGGGACATCATGAATAAAGTTATGAAGGTGTGAAAGTGGGTAGCATGTTGGTGGAACCAGCAGACATGCCAGTATGGCTCGAACATGTAGTTCATGGAAGAATGATGAACAGGGAAAATCATCCTTTCTATGTGATAAAGTGGCAACAAAGGGAAGAACTGCTAGATTAGCAGAGGATAGACTTGAGGTACGAAGGGCAATTAGAAGGCTGTGATAACGGTACAGGCAAGAGGTAATGAAAATCTGAACTCCTAGTAAGGAGTAGGGGACAGAAAGGAAGACAGTCACCTCTTGCTTACTTGCTTTCAGATTTATGCCTCCAGATGATCCATTAGGACGCCATGGTCCAAGCCTTGAAAATTTCTTAAGAAAGAGACCCATTGTTCCTGAGCATAAGAAGCAACCATGTCCTTACGGTGAGTACCTATGTACAAAACTGAGTTCTGTACCACCAGAAACATAAGGATTCTTCTGTGAATACTTTTCTCTTCCAGGTTTCCCTTTCAAATGGGAAATCTTGGCTTGTCCACTGTCTTTGAGTTAAAGTTTGTGTCTTCATGTACACCGTTAGGTATTTAAAGAAAAATTTTAGAAACTGAATGAGGAAAAGGTAGCTAGAATTGAAGGGAAGATCAGTTGTCACTTGTGACAATAGCACATGTGCTCTAGCTGCCTAAGTCCTGAACTATGTTGCTGGGAGCAGGGAAATGAACAAACCTATATGGCCTGTGGAAGCAGAAAGGGCAATACGAAACTGAGTTTGGCCCCAAGATGAACCTGTGTCTCAGGCAGGTGACTGCTGTCAATTAATACTAACCTTTCCTTTAGATCTGTCCTTTCCAGTTTTTTTGTTTGTTTGTTTGTTTTGAGACAGTCTCGCTCTGTCACCTAGGCTGCAGTGCAGTGGTGCAGTCTTGGCTCACTGCAACCTCCACCTCCCAGGTTAAAGCGATTCTCCTGCCTCAGCCTCCCCAGTAGCTGGGATTACAGGTGCACGATGCCAAGCCCAGCTAATTTTTATATTTTTAGTAGAGATGGGGGTTTCACCATGTTGGCCAAGCTGGTCTCAAACTCCTGACTTCAAGTGATCCATCCACCTCGGCCTCTGAAAGTGCTGAGATTACAGGCATGACGCACCCAGCCCCTTTCCAGTTTTCTTTTTTTTCTTCTTTTTTTAATAAATATACTTTTCTAGAGTGTTTTCATGCTCTTATCCCAGTCCCTCTGATACAAGGTTTGTGCGCCTGACATTGTGACAGGGCTGCTTGATCTGAGGCTACTTTGAATGTCTGTTTTTTTGGATGATCATTTGTTTTGTGGGTTGTTTTGGTTTTTGTCCTCAATTAACATTTAAGTCACAGAGTACCTTCATATTCATTATCTCATTTAATCTTTACAATGACCCTATAATATAGGCATGATGATGAACTTTGTTTACAGAAGAGGAAAATGAGGCTCACAAAATAAAGTCACTTACCAAGGTCACATAGCTAGTAAGGGACGTAGCTGGAATTGAAATTCAGATCTGACTGGACTCCAAACCTGTGCTCTTTGCACTGCACTGTGCTGCTTTCTGTTACTCTATGCTGCTTCAGCATGCAAATTATGCCTAGGCAAAGTTGTACATTATCGAAAACTTAAAACTGCTCAACTGCTCAGCTTTAGCTTTTTTTTTTTTTTTTTTTCTGAGACAGGGTCTTGCTCTGTCACCTGGGCTGGAGAGCAGTGGCATGATCATGGCTCACTGCAGCCTTGACCTTCCAGGCTCAAGAATTCTCCCACCGCAGCCTCCTGAGTAGCTGGGACTACAGATCTGCACCACCATGCCCAGCTAATTTTGTTTATATTTTTCTTTACAGACGGGGTTTCACAATGTTGCCCAAGTTGGTCTTGAACTCCTGGGCTAAAGTGATCCACCCACCACAGCCTCCCAAATTGCTAGGACTACGGACAGGAACCACTGCATCCAGCCAGCTATTAGCTTTTATGCTGCAATTTTCTCCATAGCTTTCCACTTTCTCTCTCCCATCACAGTGTGTGATGCCGCCTTGGTGTTGTCTGTCTCTCATCTTTGTGGACAGTTAATTTTCTGCCTTTACCCCAAACAGTAAAACCCTAACCTGAGTGACCAGATTGTTACAACGGTTTCTGGCACGGAGGGTTCCATCACTGAGAGAGAGTCTTACCCCAAGGCATTATTTTTCAGGCAAAAAATGCACCTACGGCCACAAGTGCAAATACTACCATCCGGAGCGGGCCAACCAACCCCAGCGTTCGGTGGCTGATGAGCTCCGCATCAGTGCCAAACTGTCCACAGTGAAAACTATGAGTGAAGGCACCCTGGCCAAGTGTGGCACAGGGATGTCTAGTGCCAAAGGTGAGATAACCTCAGAGGTCAAACGTGTGGCCCCCAAGCGCCAATCAGATCCCAGCATCCGGTCTGTGGCTGTGGAGCCTGAGGAATGGCTGTCCATTGCCCGTAAGCCTGAGGCTAGTTCTGTCCCCTCGCTTGTGACTGCCCTAAGTGTTCCCACAATCCCACCCCCAAAAAGCCATGCAGTGGGTGCACTCAACACCCGTTCGGCCAGCAGCCCAGTGCCAGGATCCTCCCATTTCCCCCACCAGAAGGCCTCTTTGGAGCATATGGCCAGCATGCAGTATCCTCCCATCCTGGTTACCAACAGCCATGGGACCCCTATTAGCTATGCTGAGCAATACCCAAAGTTTGAATCCATGGGGGACCATGGCTACTATTCAATGTTAGGTGACTTCTCCAAACTGAACATCAACAGCATGCATAATCGAGAGTATTACATGGCTGAAGTAGACCGGGGGGTGTATGCCCGGAATCCTAATCTCTGTCCTGACAGCCGTGTGAGCCATACCAGGAATGACAACTATTCCTCTTACAACAACGTGTATTTGGCTGTAGCTGATACCCATCCTGAAGGCAATTTGAAGCTGCATCGCTCAGCATCCCAGAACCGACTTCAGCCTTTTCCTCATGGTTACCATGAAGCCTTAACACGAGTGCAGAGCTATGGCCCAGAGGATTCTAAGCAAGGCCCCCACAAACAGTCAGTCCCCCACTTAGCTCTGCATGCCCAGCACCCAGCAACTGGAACACGTTCCAGCTGTCCTGCAGACTACCCCATGCCTCCCAATATCCATCCTGGGGCAACCCCCCAGCCAGGCCGTGCCCTGGTGATGACTCGGATGGATAGCATTTCTGACTCCCGCCTCTATGAGAGCAACCCCGTGAGGCAAAGACGACCTCCCCTGTGCCGGGAACAGCATGCCAGCTGGGACCCGCTGCCCTGTGCAACTGACTCCTATGGCTACCACTCCTATCCCTTGAGTAACAGCCTCATGCAACCATGTTATGAGCCAGTCATGGTACGGAGCGTGCCTGAAAAGATGGAGCAGCTTTGGAGGAATCCTTGGGTTGGAATGTGCAATGATTCCAGGGAGCATATGATCCCAGAGCACCAGTATCAGACCTACAAGAACCTCTGCAATATTTTCCCTTCTAACATCGTCCTTGCGGTGATGGAGAAGAATCCCCACACAGCAGATGCCCAGCAACTGGCAGCCTTGATTGTTGCTAAGCTTAGGGCTGCACGTTGATATGACATAGTACTTATTTCTTTATACAAATATGAATATTAATACTAACAATACACTAACACAATAATTATAGTAACTAATAATTTGTGTTGCGCTTTACAAGTTACAGAGTGTTTATATCATTTAAGCGCATAACAACCCTGTGAGGTACGTCTTACTAACATCCTCTTTTATAGAGAAGGAAGGTGAAGCTCAGTGAAATTAAGTGGCTAGCCAGGGTCACACTGCTAGCAAATGACTAAGTCAAGACACACACCCAAGTCCTCTAAATCTAAGTCCTATGCCCCTTTGCACTGCACCATGCAGGTAATGGAGGACAAAACCCAGGGGGAGAGGTCTAGACGTAAGAAACCCCAGAGGATTCCATTACCAGAGTTTTCCTTTTTTTTGTTTCTTTCTTTCTTTTTTCTTTTTTCTTTTTTTTTTTTTTTTTTGAGACAAAGTCTTACTCTGTTACACAGGCTGGAGTGGCACTATCTCTGCTCACTGCAACCTTCGCCTCCAGGGTTCAAGCGATTCTATGACCTCAGCCTCCCAGGTAGCTGGGATTACAGGCGTGCACCACCATGCCCGGCTAATTTTTGTATTTTTAGTAGAGACGGGGTTTCACCATGTCGGCCAGGCTGGTCTCAAACTCCTGGCCTCAAGTGATCCACCCGCCTCGGCCTCCTAAAGTGCTGGGATTACAGGTGTGAGCCACCGCGCCCAGCCTACCAGAGTTTTCATAGTCACATATTCTATATTACAAAGTATGGATGATATATCCAATTTAGAGAGCAAAAGCATCAGGATCAGATCATATGTTGAATTAACCTTTTAGGTTTTTTCTAATAGAAATATTTAAAACTATTTAAAAGTAAATGCATACTTTATTGCATGGATATCTGATCATTCAATCTTTATTAACGAAGCTATAGGGTCACATTGAAGCTTCTAGAACTATATTTTAAATCTATTATTAGCAATTATATTGCATGTATGAATATATATATTTGGTTTGAGATGTGTGTGTATCTCTGTATAACCTTTTATATAGTGATAATGAGAGGGTAGGCTCTACACAGTCCTTCGTCTATAGCTGTATAGGTCACTAATCTGACTTGATGATTTTAAGTCACATTTCATAGTTTCAAGTAGTTATGAGAGTGAAAATTATATGGCAATATTTGAACATTGCTTTCTTAGGCACCAGAGCAAAGCAGCTCTGTTTCCTTTGCACATTTTACCTGCCAACATTTATTAACAGTTCTTAGCTTCCAAGTCTCTTCACCTTAGCAAATCAGGGATCAGGTTGCAGTCTTCTGCAGAGGAACTGATGGTTAAGCTCAAGTTCCAAGCATAGTATGTGTGTGCTACACAAGCTCAGAAGAGTTTGACAAGGACCAGGGGACTTACTACCACAATCCACTTCCCTTATCCCAGGAGAGATGGCCAAACACATGTGGCATTAAATGGTGAATAAAAAAGCTCCACTCAAGGAGGGACTATTGGATGCTCTTTGGACTTCCAACCTATGCAGTATTCAACATCACTGGATGAAATGTAATGGAGGACAGTGCACAGCCATGTATCCACTTTCTCTTCCTGTCCACCCTTTGGGTAATAAGGTCAATCATTGGTGGAACAGAATTTCTCTAGGAAACAAAACCAGGGGATTTTCTATGTGGAAAAAGGAAGTTTCCAAAAGGGGATACTGCATCTTTACTAATAGCTGGCTCAGTTATGCACTTTAAATCCACGCAAAGAGAGTGCACTTGCTGTTAAATAATTGTTAGATGAGTTACTAGAAGGCAGGACTTTCAGTTTGGGCGACACCATTTGTGCAACTTGTATCTTGCTCAGGGTGGAAAACTTCATAGCTAAATGCCTCTAGAAGAGGTGTTTATTGTTTTTTTTAAGCTGCACTAAATGAATTCCCTTTTTGAATCCACTGTATATTTCAATATTTCAAACCATGACCAGCTCACTATTTCCTGAGCTGGAACTTGCTAACTTCTATGATCGTTTTTTCATGAAAGTTGAGAAGGCCGGGCCTTGGCCTTTTGTTTCTTCATGAGAAGGTGTGACACTGCCTATAAATGTTTCTTACTGTGAAACACTCTGAATGTGAGGCTGTAGTCAGGGTTGTTTCTGGTGGTTTGATAATGGCTTGCATGCTGCTTTCTGGCTTTCTGTCTCTGTCCAAGTTGATCAATACTGCATCTTAACCAATGTTTCACTTCAGTTAACCACAGCTTTACATTCTATCTCCTATCCTCTGATCTTCGTATACCCCAGCATATTGAAAAAGAGTAAAAGTATTTTCTATCAGGTAGGTCCACAGAGTGACAGTTGCCACTGCAGTGCTTGCTATTTCACACAAACACCATTTCATACCTTCAACTTCTTGGACTTTCTAAATTGGACCTGTGTCTAAATCAGGGTATTTGACAATCTCAGATGATGCTACTGCCTATGTGCCAGTTAGTTCATCTTCCTACCAAAATCGTCAATGGCACCACAGTATCCACGAGCTGTACAATTTACAGGGAAGCACAAGATTAATCTTGTCACCTATAATTCGTCTTGAACATGTTCATATTTAGTACTCAGAAAACGTGTAAGCTCCTCCCAATACAGAAAATTCTTTTAAGGCAGCATATGTATTTCTGATTTACTAAAAATGATTGTCATCCTCCTCTCATTCTTCTTTTTGGTATGAACCAAAAGCGGCTAGGAGCAATGCCTCAAATAACCAGAAATGACCTTTTGTTGATACAAATTGTATCTCTTTTTTTCCTGATTGTATAGAAACAAATGTACAAAACTCATCTTAAGCTAGGTTTGGCACTGAATTTTCACCATGAGGTTTGTGGCACTGTGTGTCACAGGGAAGTAGCTCAGGGGTTGTGAGGGAGCTTTTATTTCTAAAGGGCAGTAGTAATTTATAGACAAAAACAATTTTTCAAGGCCTCTTTATTACCAGTGCACAGTTATCACGTGTACAATTTCAAGCATTATATTGCATAAGTTCTCTTTAGCCTATTAAATTTAATATGTCCTTGAAAAAGGGATTTTGTGTAAAAAGTGTCAGTGTTAGTGACTCATCTGCAAGAATCTATAAATGGAGCTATACAAATATGAATACATAAATACAGCATGGTTCTTAGTTATTAAAGAAACATTTTCTTTATATTGAGGTCTAGGCACTTCTTGACTTTCCATTTTGTCTGTAATTATAAAACAGCAAGTAACAAAGAAGCATTGGGACCCCCTCGGCTGCCTTGATAATAAAATCAAGCTTCCCTCATGGGGCTAAGCATGTGTCCTTCAGGATACTTACCTCTAAGCGCTCAGCAGGGGTTACTACAAAGCGTTTTGTGTGGTTTTCAAGAAACAGTGTGTTTTGCAAGAGGTGCTTTGTAATTTTAATTATTTCACTGATTTTCTGACCTCATAGCAAGTCTGTGCCTGTTGAGGCCTTCAATTTTGTAGCTTTTCTGATTTTTTTTCTTCTTTTTGTGATTTTGTTGTTTTCATTTTGATCTAAAGGAGAAGTGTGACCCCGGAGTGGCATGGTCAATCCAGGGCACCCTTTCTGTAAGACAACTCAAAGGAAAAGAAGCCTTTTCAAAGGTAATATCGAGCCATTGCACTCTCTCTTAAGGTGCCAGGTATGGAAGGGAGAATGACAGATGCCTTATGGAAATGGTCTACGAAACTTTTCTTCTTCTAAGTAATAAAGCACATAGCATGATTCTCTCTCCCTCTCTCTCTCTCTCTCTCTCTCTCTCTGCCCACCCCCTGCTAGTTTCCAGGAGAATACTTCTCTAAAATTCATTTTTTTCTATTTTGGAATAAATTATCTTTATACAGTAATTTAAACACTGATTTCCATTAACCTTTGGCCCTGAGTTTTCTTCTAACATAGAAGAATTCATTTTGAGAGGCACTCAGTTACCATTCTATCTGTGCTGTAAGTATGGGACTTTGTACAAATGCCCTTTTTGAGGGCCAAAAATTTCAATACACTTTGTTCTACTTTGTGAACCAGGTCTGGATCTGCACAGAGAAAGTAATGCTGAGCTGTCGAGTCCGCTCAGGTCTCCCTCCTAACCCTCCTCTGCCTTCCCCTAGTTTGTTTATCCTCAGGTCTGACACTGAGGAGTGCGTAGTCTTCAACTGAAATGGCACTATAGTTAGTTCTCATTGGAAACAAACAAGTGTATTTCTGGAACCTGCTTGTCTAAAATAGCCAATGCCTTTGTAAAGACAGCATATTCAATATCTATTGTATGGTAGCTAGCTATATACATAGATTGACTATTTTTAGTCCTGGTTTGTGTATTGTTGAGCTATAGTAGTTTGCTTTATCCATTTGTGGGATTAAACAATACTGTTTATTGGTTGTAAACTTTTATAAAATCTCTTTGGGTTTTTTGTTTGACCCAAATATAATGTAAGTCTCAATGACAAAATACACAAAGTTAACCAGAGGTGAGTGAAAATATAGCCCTTCCCCAGTTTTGTCTGTCCCTATAATGCACGTGCATTGCTTTGTAATATGCTCTCACTAGCATGAATGTGCTATGACTACTTCATGAGGTTTTAATTTGTTTCACCTATCATTGTGATGGAAAATGCTGTATCGCTGACAACAATGAACTGTAACCAGTTATTTACTGCATAAACTATTTGTCTACTGACCACTCATGGCTCTGTTTCTTTAAGAATACCAACAACAATGGGCCGGGCGTGGTGTCTCATACCTGTAATCTCAGCACTTTGGGAGGCAAAGCAGGAGGATCACCTGAGGTCAGGAGTTCTAGACCAGCCTGGCCAACATGGTGAAACCCCGTCTCTACTAAAAATACAAAAATTAGCCGGGTGTGGTGGCACGCACCTGTAATCCCAGCTACTCGGGAAGCTGAGGCAGGAGAATTGCTTGAACCCAGGAGTTGGAGGTTGCAGTAAGCCGAGATTGTGCTACTGCACTCCAGCCTGGGCGACAGAGACTCCATCTCAAAAAACAAAACAAACAAAAAACAAAAAACAAACAAAAACCAACAACAACAAAAGCCATACCACACATACATATACATATACTCTAGTTTGCTCCTAAAGTATTAGATTTATGTCCTTGCGACTTATATTGGGATAAACCATAAAGCCAGGGATTTCCCCAGATGTGTTCATCTGAATTTTACCACAGTAAGTATATGTCCTCAAATTTTTGAAGACTAACAGTTCCAAGTGCTAATCGAACTGGCGTTCCCTGCAGGGCAGGGCTGGGCCTGCTTTTGCCCACCAGTCAGAGCCAAGTGGTGGGCCCAGGGCCCAGACTTAATTTTTGTATGCAGCCTATAGTTTCTCCCCTGAATAGCCTCAGGCCCAAAGATACATCATCTGCTGTCTCAGCCAGAATATCAGAGCCAAAAGGTGCCTCCTATCCTACACTTCACACTCAGAGTGCTCAGCTGCATCCACCCCTTCAGGGTATAGTACATGAACTGAGGCTCCAAGAGCACTGAAGAGATTTGACCAAGGCTAAACAGAATTAGTGGCAAAGGCAGGACTGGAAGCCCAGGCCTCATGACTCCCAGGCCGGTAAGCCCTTTATCATAGTGGAGTTGGTTCTCTCTCTGGAGCCTCCTACCTACCCTCCACCGCACTCCAGGCTAGTCTCATTCTAAAGGTAGAGGCAGCTATGATGGTTGCAGCAGAGCCCAGCCTACAAGCCTTTGGAAGAGGCTATTTGTGAATCTGAGAATCTTTTTTTTGTTATCATCCTCCATGGGACTAAGAGTGCTCGTCTCTCCCCACCTTTTTCCTCTTCTGTCTCTTACTCTTCCTGTCACATTCCTCGGGCATACACGTATCAAGTTCTTACTGAGTACCGGCTGGGGGGGTCTGGCCTATACTAAGCTAGGCAGACAGAAGAGGAACAGTCCATCTTGGGGAACTTGCACTCTAGTGGGAGAATGAAGCACACTCAGAGAATAGAGTAAGAAATTAAGACTTCCTTGGAGGGCAGTGGCAGCATGAGGGTAAGTAGAGTGGTAAGAACTACTAGAATTCCAAAAAGGGACAATCAACAAATGTCCAGTCGTTCTGCCCTAATCTCAGGTGGAAAATGAACTAGTCTGGTCATATCCCTCTCCACCTCCCCTCGGGCCTCATGTAATACCAAGTCCTTCACATCACCATGTTCCAATTATCCTGTACCCTGCACTTGTGCCCCCAACCATGCTTTCTCAACCTCTCCAGACTTTGACCTTCCTTCTACTCCTTGTTCTGATTAGTACTCTTGCCTTTAAAGATCCAGTGGCAATGTCCAACCTCCTGGTCAAGCCATTGTTAGTCCCTCCCCACAGTGGGCCTTGCAGGAATATTGAGCAATACCTCTTAGCTCTTGTCACTCACTTTGGCACACCGTCTCTACTACAAAACAGGGAGTTCCTTGGGCACGGGAACCATGTTATTTGCCACTGATGAATTACCTATCAGAGGGGACTCTCTGAATTACTGTTGTTGAATAATAATATAATCTATGCTCCCTTTCCTTGACCCCTGTCCTTGTTTCCCAGTTAAATGTGTGCATTTCAGGCTGGGCACAGTGGCTCACACCTATAATCCCAGCACTCTGGAGACTGAGACAGGAAAATCACTTAAGGCCAGGAGTTTGAGGCCAGGAGTTTGAGACCAGCCTGAGCAACACAGGAAGACCCTCATCTCTACAAAAAATTCAAAAGTTAGCCAGGTGTCATGGTGCACACCTGTAGTCCCAGCTACTCAGGAGGCTGAGGTGGGAGGATTGCTTGAGCCCAGTAACTGGAGGCTGCAGTGGCCCATGATTGTGCCACTGCACTCAAGCCTGTGCAACACAGCAAGACCTTGTCTCCAAAAATAAAAACAAAAATGAAAATTGTGTGCAGTTCAGACTTTCTAATCAGTCTATCTCTAATCAGACAGAAAACATCCATGGGCACTAGGCTAAGTAAGGTTGCTTCCTGACAGCTCCACTCCCCACCCACCAACCCCTGCCGTCCAAAGCCCTTCAACCTGGCCTCAGAACTTCCAGGTTCCAGAAGGACACCAGCCAACAATGACCCTTGGCTCTTACTCTCTGGACCTGGACTAGAAATGAGCTCATGTAGTCTGCTTCTCATCTTTAGATCAGTCTTTGAGGGCCAGGGGAAAGCATAACAATGGGTTATTTATATAGAGACCTCAGTCCCAATTTCAAGGTTTATCAACCCTGGCATGAACCTACACCACTCACACATACAAAGCATAATATGCTTTAAACAACACTTTCCCATCTATTGTGTTTCAATCCTTATAAGCATGTGAGGCAAATATTATCTCCCTGCAGGTGAAAAAAACTGTGGCATGATTTGTCCAAGGTTGCTCCTCTTAACTGGTAGAGCTGGTCTGGAACCCAGGTCTTTGGCGAGCTTTTTCCTGTATACCAGTGCATCTGAAACCTCAGTGTGCATCAGAATCACTTCAAGGGCTTGCTAAACCAAAGATTGCTGTCCACTCTCACCCCTTCTGATTCGAGTCAGGAGTGGAGTCCAATAATTTGCATTTCTAACAAGTACCCAGGTGATGTCCACATTTGCTAGAGAACACTGATCTATGCCGACCTATTAACTTGCTCTGTGGCCTTAGACAAATCCCTTTTTTTTTTCCTATCCCACTGTCTCAATGCATACAATGGAGCGGGGTGGGGGTGTAGACTAGAACTGTGACTTCCAGACCTTATTTATTTTCTTTTAGCCGCAAAACCCATCTTTCTGGCCAGGTGAGGTGGCTCACGCCTGTAATCCCAGCAGTTTGGGAGGCCGAGGCGGGTGGATCACCTGAGGTCAACGGTTTGAGACCAGCCTGGCCAACATGGCAAAACCCCATCTCTACTAAAAATACAAAAAACAATTCGCCGGCCTTGGTGACGGGCACCTGTAATCCCAGCTACTTGGGAGGCTGAGGCAGGAGAATCACTTGAACCCGGGAGGCAGAGATTGCAGTGGGCCGAGATCGTGCCATTGCACTCTAGTCTGGGCGACAGAGTGAGGCTGTCTCAAAACAAAACAAAAACAAAAACAAAAACAAAAACATCTTTCCAAAGAAATCTTATATATGATTCCAATACATAAGAATCTGGTGAAGTGCTGGATGGGAACCCAGAGCTTGTGGCACCTATCTCCCCACAGAGCAGGCACTGGAGTACCTCCTGAAGTACACAACTGCAAATCCCTTCACTAGATGTAGCCTACATGTTTTTGTTTTTTTTTTTAATTGAGACGGAGTCTCGCTCTGTCCCCCAGGCTGGAGTGCAGTGGCGCGATCTTGGCTCACTGCAAGCTCCGCCTCCTGGGTTCATGCCATTCTTGTCTCAGCCTCCCGAGTAGCTAGGACTATAGGCGCCTGCCACCACGCCCGGCTACATTTTTTGTATTTTTAGTAGAGACAGGGTTTCACCGTGTTCGCCAGGATGGTCTCGATCTCCTGACCTCGTGATCCGCCCGCCTTGGCCTCCCAAAGTGCTGGGATTACAGGCGTGAGCCACTGTGTCCGGCTGCCTATATGTTCTTTGAGAACGCTTCCAGCTCTGACATTCCAAGATGCCAACAGACTTCTAGCATTTGCCATCGTGACGGGACAGGGGAGAGTTGGAAGGAAACTGATGCTGCACAAGACTGCTTTGCCCATGCCTATTGCTTGGATCATACACAGGAAAGATCTTAACACTGCTGGGCTGTTGGGCTAATGGACCCCTTTGACAACTTGATAAAATCTGTGGACCAGCCCCTTAGAAAAATGATTATACACATACCCACAATGATACTCAGTATATCCTTTGAAGTGTTGTAGATACTCTAGGGGTCCTAATCCAAGTTAAAACTCTTGTCTGGGCTCTGGCACAGCACTTTTACCAAATTCCTCTTTGGCATTTTCTTAGTATAAGCCCTCTCCATCATTTCTTGGTGTGGCCATTTACAGAAATCCCTTAAGGCACCTAGCAGAATCATCAGGTTATCATTTGGTGACTCTGTCCTTCCTCACCAGGCTGAAGGCTCTAAGAAATGAAAACATGGTTTATTCATCCCTATCTCTTGCTAGTTCAGGGCTGACATGGGGTAGGCACTCTAAGGTGAGGTGAGTTTCTGAGGGGATTTGGTGACCACAGAGAACAGCAGATCAGTCCCTAAGATATTTCTCTTGCTCTAATGCACACCACAAGGAAGCCCACTCTCATCTTTTCTAGGCCAAAAGAGTGCAGAAGTGACAAAGAAAATCTCTCTGGCTTTCAACTGCTGTTTGGTGTATAGTGTGAGCAGGTGTGGAGAATAGCAGGAAGCCTGTTGGGTAGCAGCAAGGCGGCCTGACTCTTCCCACTGTCAGGGAGACTCTAAACAAACCACCTGGCCACTTGCTAGGCTCTGTAGCCAGCAGTGCCTCTGGGGCCTGATGCTTCCAAGTGAGCTAGCCTCATACTACAGCTGAGAACAGAAATGGTTCGAGGAGTCCGGAATAAGATATGGGTGGAGCCTAGTTATGGGAGCAATCAGAGTCAGAGGCCCACAGGGCCTCAGGACCTGGTTCCTGGTCAAGCCTTGTCTGGAGCCTCCACAGTAAAGGGAAAACTATACTGGTCTGCCCCACACCCACCCTCTTCATCTCACAAACACCAAAACTACAGTTG